CATTTTAAGCACGAAATTCACTCTCTTGTCATCTCAACTCTTCATCTTTCACCCCCTTTAATATCCCTAACTTGTATACACCTACTTAAACTAATTTATACCCATTCAATATCTCTTAAACTTCAAAATTCAATCCTCCACATAGAGTTCAAGAATCTCACTCAAATTCCAACATGTTCTAAATCTAATTCTAACACTTCGTGTGTCTTGATTAAGTCGATGACAAGTCAAATTCAACCTCCAATTCTAATTATGAACTCTATTTCAAAATTCCATTAAAGAACTCTTAACCTTTAATTCTTCCTACACTCTTCATCTTGTTGTTTTAAAGCAACTTAAGCTTTCCTCAAGCTTAATTAGCATCTAATGATCAGAACAAAATTTAAATTCCAGCAAACAATTAGCTCATGAGAAATCTCACCTTTGTTTTGACCTCTTCACGTGTGGAGAAATAAGATAATAAAAGAACTCTGGAACCTTCTGTTTTTCTTCAATCTCTTCCACGTGTAGCTAGTATATATCTTTTCTTTAATTATTTTCCATGGAAATGACTATTTTATCCTCCAATTCCATCTTCCTTGCAATTTAACCCTATACCAAATTACAATACTATTCAATTATTCTGCTTTAGTCACCAAATTCTAAAGTTTTACAATTTAGTCACTAACCCGATATTGAGGTTGTTACACTCCAGACTTGCTCAGTTCTTTTCCCTCGAGGAAAAAGCTTCACAGATTGTCCGAATCGACCACAGTCAGTACAATAACTAGACATCCAAGGAACTAAGACCCTAATTCTTATCAGTATACCATAACGCAAGATAACATCTATACTATCTTGAATTTGAGACCCAGCAGAAATCTCAATGCAAACTCGAGCATATTCAAGCCTCTCTCGAGCTGTAGTAATAGTATCCATATAAAAGGGCTTCCCTACAGTACTAGCAATATAGTTAAGCCCCACCCTAGAGTATAATTCCAAAGGTACATTGTATAAATGAATCCAAATAGGCATACGACTCAAATCAAATTGAAGCTATTTCAAATTAGGTTCCCACTTTAAAAGAAAAATCGGTTTATGTTGTACATGCCATGGACCATTATCTAAAACCCAATCCCTAGCAATCGAATTAGCAAATGAAAATACGTACAAATTTTGCCCAGCAATGCTCACCTTGATCGAAGTAGCCTTACCCCATAACTACGAGATAACTTTCTGGATTGAGCCAAAAGCTGGAATCGAACCTATAAATTGGCCAACAAGAGCATATTTCCAATCTAAAATCCCCTCGTCAAACACTTCCTTTGTCGGTTTAACAACACAGGAACCCTCAATTACCTCAGGTGGGAAGAACTGCAATTCTTGGTCAATCCCCACCGCAAAAAGCTTACGCCAATCACTAAGAACCTCACCAGACATAGCTCAACAAAACCCCCATAAAACCTACATCGATTAAGGAAGGAAAATCACTCAAAATGGAAGAGAATAGCTACGTCTTCCCCCGTTGTTAGTATTTTATTAGTATTTTATTTTAAAATCCATTTAAAATGATTGACTTACATGATTATTAAAATGTAGATCATTAAAAAAATAAGAATTATCAATTACTAGTTAGTCCAATGAAATATATGTTAAATTAGTGTGAATAAAATAAATTAAATTATAAACAATCTCTATGATAAATTATCACATAATTTAATTTAAATTAATCATTGCATCAGAAAAATCCTAAAATGAAAAGGTAAATAAAGAATTTAATTAACTATTTTATTTTAATTTAAAAATATGTATTTAAAAAAAAGCTTATATCACTAGTCCATGTAGAGATCGGCTCATGATTAAATATATTTTAAAGATATTTCATTAATATTTGAAATTAGAATTATTACCTCACATACTAAAATGAAAATTTATTTTCACAAATAAAATTCTAATTGTTTTATTTTAATATTATCTTGTGGGTACGGGCCGCTAGGGCCTTGCCCTTTTGGATTTTTACATTTTGATTTGGCCCAATTATAAATATGTTGATTTAAACCTTTTTCTTAATTATGTTTTATTCTAAATTCTTTTGTATTTTTACTTCATCCTTCAAATATTAATTATTAGATAATTGGATGTTTGATTTGATATTAATTTTTTATTTATATTATATATAAATATAATAGCAATTATGTTTAATACTATTAAATGTTTAAATTTTATTATAATTAATTATATATATTAATTCATATTGATGAAATGTAAATATGAAATAGATGTGATGTTAACATAAATAGATATGATATTAACATGCAGAGATGTGATGTTAACATAAAAATATATAATGTTAACATGAAAAGATGTGATATTGATAAGAAAATATATTTTTTTATAAAAATTATTTTTTTATAAAAATATATTCTCCATCAAAAAAATTGTCTAGTACTAAGGATTAAGCGAGAAGAACTAAACTCTTCTTAAATCGGTTTTTTCAGCAAAATTTTATATAAACTCAATTTTATAGATAAATATATATTATCCTTCCTGATCTTTTTTTTTTTCATTTTCTCTCCTCAGCCTCAAAGAACCTAGATCCCAATCATCACGCCGGCCACGATTATAACCAACACCGGCCACCGTTGCCGTTCTAACGGTTTAAGTATGAACGAACAACAGCACCATCCTGGTAAGACTAATATAAAATATTAAAAAAATTAAAAAATAATTATGACCGGAAACCCAGGATTTCATCAACGTCGTCAGTAATTCCCGCCACAAGTTCGGATCATGCTTCCCGGACAAAACTCATACATTCTACGTTGATAGCTATCCTTTTTATAAATTGATTTAATAGTCTATTTGGTCTCTAAATTATATCCTTTTCAATTAATAAATTAAATACATATTATGTATTGATGTATATTAAATGAGGTGGTGGTTCAGACAGCGAAAAGAGAGGTATTATCGATGATTTGTAGTTCATTTCTATTGATTTAGATGAAGAATCATTAATCAACCTATATAAACATAAGTATAAGAAAAAGATTCACGAAAAATAAGAATGAAAATATGAAGAGAAAGAGTCGGTGAAAAAAAAACTCATTTACTTTAAAGAAATCATATTATATATTCTAAATGTTCGATAAACATATAATCATTTATTTATAAGATAAAATATAATATTTATTTTACAGGATTTAATTTTAATATTTTATCTTCAATTCTTCTCTCTCTTCTAGAGCACTTGACCATAGTTAGGGATGGACATGGGTCGGCTTTGGGCCAACTCGACCCGACTCGAAAATTTTACATCCTTCACCCAATCCGACCTAATTCGAAAAATATATACACTTTACCTGACTCGAACCCAACTCGACTTTTTGAGATAAAATCCTAATCCGATCCGACTCGACCCAAAAAAATAAGAAATATTATTTTTATTCAATAAAAGAGTGATTTAATTGAAAAAAACAATATTTAGAGGGGTATTATTGTAATTATCTCTAAATATATAAGATAAAATTATATTTTTTTGGTTGGGTCAGGTATTTTTACCCTAAATCCGAATCCGACCCGACTCAAACATCATCTTTAAAAAACCGACCCAACCCAACCCGAACCCGAATTAAAAAAACCCGATCTGATCGGGTCAGAACCAATCGGATTCGGGTCCCATGCCCATCCTATAGTGACTTTGTGATTGGGAGAAAGTTAATACCATATCTTATATTTGGAATCTTGGTTTCCGAAAAGTTAAGGTAGAAACGAATTGTGTTATGGCAGTGGAACTTCTTACTCAGCTGTCAAATGCGGGAGATGGTAATACGATGGTCGGGTTGATCCGTGATTTTTTGGAGAAGAACCAGGAAACGAAAAAAAGTAATGTTTGTCGTGAGAGAAACAAAGTGACAGACAAGCTAGCCAAGTTGGCTAGAGGACGTCCGATAGGGATGGAAATTCATCAGGTTCCTCCTAGGGAGGTGGCTGCTTTAGTTCATCAAGACCAAGCCTTCATGGATTAGTCTTGCTTCTCTTTCTATATTATCGGGGGGGGGGGGGGGGAAGAAGGTAGCAAAGAAAATATAAGATCATTTTACAATATCTCATTTGGTAAGGGCGGGTAATTTAAAGGATGTTAATCATTTATAGAGTAAGTAATTAAAAAGTTCTCAAACACCTCCCAAATCTCCTAGAATATGAGGTCAATACATATTAAGAGAAAAAGAAAATTTCTCCCTCCTCTAATTAAAATAAGTCAAAAAAAGTAATTTAAATGATAAAATATTTTCCTTATAAAATATGGATGGCTAGGATTAATTTTCCAAATAAACCAATACAAATCATTGATCGGATCATCACTCCCAACACATCTCACTATTTGTGTTTTGGTCCAATTACTAATCAAGGATCTCGACCATTCATCCATTTCACTTAGTTTCATCTAAATTAATTTATGATTTTAATATAAAATAAGTATCTAAATTATATCGATTTTTTTCCTAAACAGTTAGGGGTGATTATAAATAATATATTTTAAAAAATTAGTATATTGACAATACACACATCTTGTAAACATAATTATTTAAACTTGAATCCTCTAGAAAGATCAACATTCCTTTTAACTTAAATCATTAACAATTTAGATTTAAAGCTAAAAATTTAAACAAACAAAGAGCCCCAAAATTGATAAAAAAAAAAAAACCCCTACAAACAAACATATTCATGAAGATTTAAAAACACATTATTTTTTATTTTGCTTCAATTGTTGTCTATGGGATTTTGCCTTTTTGTCTGATATGATATATTAGGTATGGTTATGCTAAAGGCTTCGAATTTGAATATGCATAAATAAATTTATTTGTGATCATAAATAAATCGAATATATATTTATTTAAACTAATTTGTTTCGTTAAATTAACGTAAAATTCCATACTCGTTTGTGTGCCATAACTTACTATTACAACAAAGTGGACAGAACATAACTCCAAAAGGCCTTTATTCTCTAAAGCAAAAGCATATTATGACCAAGTCATTTCCACTTGACCAGGAGCTTTGGTTTTGGGCAATTCATATTTAGGGTCAAGCCTCTCCTCTTCATCACCCCAAATGGCATATGCTTCTTCACCATGAGCAGCTTCATCACCAATCTCCATGTCCTCTTCAGACATCCTCAAAGGCACAAATACTTGCACCACAACACAGATTATGCTTGTACTCACCACGTTAACTACCACCACAAACAATATCCCAATCAACTGAACTCCTATCTGCCGGAACCCATCGTGTGTTCTCCCATCCGCCAGTCCGTAAAATAGGCCAATGTAGTGGCCGGGGGCACCGTAGAACAACCCGTTAAGCTTCGGTACAGCAAAGATGCCAGAAAGTATGCCTCCGAGGCTGCCAGCGACGGCGTGAGTGTGAAACACCGCCATGGTGTCGTCCACCTTTTGAAGCACTTCGGATCTTTTGTGAACAACCATCATGGTGAACCATGGAATAGAGCCGGAACAAAGCCCCATTATTATTGCTGCCCATCCTTGTACAACTCCTACATCATCCAATTTAATCTGCATGTTATATTTATATGCATAGGTGTGTATATATATATATATATATATATATATATATATATATTCATAGATAGATACAAAAATTTATGTCAAAAAATTTAAGAAGTTATATTAAAATTTAAAAGAGTTCGAAATTATAAAATTTATGAGGGTACGGAATTAGATCATTGATAAAAAAAATATAAAGAAAATAATTAAACTACGTGAGGATTTGAAATTTCCAGAGGTACGATCACACTTCTAGGACCCCTCAATTCATCCTTGTGTAGTACTTACCGGCAGCAGGGGTGATGCAGACCAAACCGGTGATCATGCCTTGAACGGCACCGATAATGGAAGGCTTTCTAAAGAAGACGCTGTCGAGTAGTAGCCATGTAAGCAAGCTGACAGCGGTGCAGATGTGAGTGTTTATGACGGCCAAGGAAGCGTCGACGCTGACTTCATAAGGATCTCCTCCATTGAACCCGGTCCAACCCATCCACAGCAACCCTGCTCCGAACAACATCAGCAGGATATTGTTCGGAGGAAATCTTTGCCTGTCTTGTGTTAGACGTGGCCCAACCTGTTCCAATATAAATAAAACGATGATTTCATAGCTGCTACAGGCAAATATTTTCTCAGTAGCTATTACATCCAAATTAGAATCTTTTCAAGGTTAGGACTAATTTGGATTATGGACTATAGTTTGAGGATGTATAAATATATTAAGCCTAAAAAATAAGATGGCGAATCATACCCAGTAGGCCGCAGTGAATCCTGCAATTCCAGAAGACAAATGGATGACATATCCACCCGAATAATCAATGATCCCCATCTTCGTAAGAAATCCATGGGGACTCCATATACTAAAAGCCGTTAACGTATAAGAAAATGTCAGCCACAGCGGCACGAACATCATCCATGCATAAAAATTCATCCGACCCAACAACGCTCCGGCAATCAGAATCAGAGTTATCGCAGCGAAAACCCCCTGGAAATACACCATCGTCGCGTTCGGAAACTTCCCCAGAAACGGTTTTCCGATCAGATACACCCCGTCCAACGCCACGTTCGGTTTCCCCCAGAACGGAACCATCCTTTCCCCGAACGACAACCGGTAACCCCAGACCGCCCAGCAGAAAACAACGCAGGCAAAAGCATAGAGCACCATGAAAGCCGAGTTCACTGCCCATTTCTTCTTCACCGAGCCTCCGTAAAGAATAATTAACCCCGGAATGCTTTGGAGGCCGACGAGTGTAGCTGCCGTGAGTTGCCATGCGTTGTCGCCTTTGTTCATCCATTCCGGGCTGGCTTCATTGGCGGCTAGATTAGGAGGGAGCGAAAACGAACTTGCCATCTTCTTCTCTGGAAAATTAGCAACCAATTAATAGACGAAATGTTATTTTTGTTTCTGGGATTTATATAACAAGGGAATGAATCGTTTCGATGATGTCGATCAGCTGTCAATGCTATTTCTACTGTATCTTTATTGTCTTTTTCTAAAAGCTTCATTGCCATTAGCAGCAGCAGCAGCAGCTCGATATTCTATTGCTTTTATCGAATTGTACAAACAACTGTAACGATGATTTCAAAGTGAATTTGGCATTGGATCGATATATAAAATTCGTGTTGTCTACGACTGTATGATGAAGAAGCTTAGGGTGCTTCGATGATGAGATCAAAAGGTCAATCAAGTTTATTTTGTTTGTACGTTGCTTCCTTAACTTCCATCCGGAAATGAACAAGAGTTTCGGTGGGTGTTTTTAGTTGGCAATGGCATTGGTTCTACCGTGCACAGTGAATCAAGATGCCAATACTTACTTTGGAATATGGATTACCAACATGCATTAGCGTAGGATACTAATTACATTTTTTTAATAATTTAATATTATTATAAGGTAATATACTTTTAGAATTTTTTTTAATTATTAACAATATACACCCACAATATTATTGTTTGAATTCAAAATCTCTAAAAATAATGATACTCTCGCTAACCATTGAAACTATTTAATGAGTTTATACACCCACAATATACTTTGTTTTAAATTGTTTAACTAGAAAATTCAATTCATAATTGATAATCAATGTGTCAAAATTAAGGTTAATGGATATTTTGTTCCTTGAATTTGATCTTATATATTTAATTGACTTATGATTTTTTTTACTTATATGACTTTAAATTTAATTTTAAACACTTAATTAATAGTTGAACTTAAAAATCACATTCATTGATTTAAAATTTTGTTTTTATTATTTTTTTAATATATTATATTTAATCTATCAATAGATATCTAGTGTCTTTTAAAATAAGTCGTTTAATTTAATCTTAAGTATTTAATTAGTTGGCATTTGAACTTTTTTTAAACTTATTTTGTCTTTGAATTTTTTTACCTACTTAATACATGGATTTTAAGACTGTCACGTACATTAATCTAAAATTTTAATTTTATTAAAATTTTATTGATATAATACGTTTAATCAATTGATATCACATGTCTTTAACAATATTCCTTTCTAGGAATGTTTTATGTCTTGCTTAAAGTTTAACAAAAATTTAATTTTAATTTTATTAAAAATGAAAAAAAAAAAAAGATCGATAATGTTTATTGATTTTTAAGTTTAATGGTTAAATTGAAAAAATTTAAACTTTAATGAATGAAATAAGAGTGAGAACAATTGAGTGATGAAATTCATAGTTTACCCGAAAAATAAATAATGTTGACAATTTCATCACGGATAAATTCCCATGGCATATATAAAATCAAGGCAAATTTCATGATTTGAGATTAATTATCCATTGATTCAGTTAAATTCGAACCTATAAATTTGCATCAACTCAGAACTTTCAGAAATCTCAAATCAACAAAATTTAATTTCTAAAAATCCCAATTAGTTGGCAATCTCCAACCTTAATCCAAAATGGCAACGGACAGTCCCCAGCTGAAGAAAATCATCCTCCTAACCGCCGACGAGCAGGAATTCGAACTGGAAGAAGCTGTAGCGATGGAATTCGGCATCGTCAAGACGTTCTTCGAAGACAATCTGGACACCTGTGATGAGCCCATGCCACTCCCGAACGTCGAATCCAAGTACCTCTCGAAGATCATCGAATACAGCAAGTGGCATTTGGTTCGTAAAGCTCAAAAACCCCGGAAACCGCGGAAGACCATAAACTTGGGGTCCGAAGACGAAGAAGACGAGGAAGCCAAGGCGTTCGATCAAGAGTTTTTCAATACGCTAGACAACGAGGGAGTGTGGCAGATGATGTTGGCTGCCAATTATCTGGACGCGAAAGAACTGCTGGAAATGCTGACGCAAGCGGTGGCGGATAAGATCCAGAACAAGAGCGTGGAGTATGTACGGAGGTTTTTCGGGGTGGAGAACGATTATACGCCGGAGGAAGAGGCTGAGCTTCGTAAAAAGTATGAATGGGCCTTCGAAGATGTGGATCCTGACGATGATATCTGATGGATTAATGTTGTTTAGTAGCATTTAAGAACGATGATTATGATCGATTGGTTTGAATAAGGCATCATCATATATGGGTAAAATAAATTGATTGATCTCTTAATTAAAATAACATGGCCGGTGGTTGATTTTCGTGTGTCATGATCAGTAACATCATCCTCTTCTACAATTTCAAGTTATGCTTTACTCTTTTGGTTATGTCCATAGTCAAGTCTGCATTTCACACACCACCTGTTTGTACATTATCGTCTCTTTCCTTCAACCGAAATAACACAGGTTGCCATTCACGATTCATCTCTCGCCAGGGATAGACAGAAAGGAGTATCGAGCATGCCATACTTTTTAAAATTTTAAAAATTCTCGTATATTTTAAATATTTTATTTCTATTTTCTATTGATAATTTAATTTTATTTCTTTAAAATTTTATAATTTTATATTCTTAAATTTGCAATATAATTTTTAGAATTCGTAATTAAAATTATACGTTGGTACTTGGTTGGAACTGAAATAAGCTTGCAGTTAAGCATGTCAAATTTTATCAGGATTTTTGCTAACAAGCGAACAAATCTTCCTTGGACCCTTGGGCTATATGTAGTTGTCATAGTGAGAACCGAGTACGGAGTAGGCCTTGTACATATCAATGGATGTCCACTCAATCCACCAAGATCCTGTCTCCAAATGTGATGTACGGGAATATTCGGGTCTCAGTGAGAGCTTTTTGTTTATGCTTGGGAGAGAGCTATGACTATCTCCATGGTTTTTTTCTTATAATCATAATATTTAATTTATGGCATAATGTATAAACAAATGTTTAAATTATACTTAAAGTTAACTTTACATGTTTAAAGTATTTTGCTTTAAAAAAATGTTTAATGTTTTTAACGTTACACTTTTAGATGTCTACTGTTAAATTCGATGGTTAAATGACACATGTCAGGCTTATAAAATTTAAAAATTTTACTTTAAAATAAAAAACATAATTTATTTATAAAAAATATAATTTTTTTCTTAAATAAAAAAAAACAAAACTCTAAAAACTCTAATTCCAAACTCCTTTACCTACGATATTGCCTTGGTCGTTTCCCTTTACCATTGGTCATTTCATCTAATCGGATTCCAACGCACGACGAAAAAAATCGTCGCTCGATCATTGGAAACATCACCTTTAATCGAAATCAATAAGTCATCACAATCGTCCATTTCTTACAACAATCGTCGCTTGAATCATGGGGTTCGATCATTGGATATTCAGGCGCTGTCGAGATTTTGATTAATTGCTAGCGTTTATTGCCAGCCGATTGTGGTGAGGGGATTGAAATCGAGGTTTTTTAGGATTTTGGGGTTTTTAACAATTTCAAAAAAGATTTTTTAAAATAATAATTGGAAGTTTTTTTAAACAAAAAATTAATTTATATATCTAACACGTGTTAAATAATAGTCAAATTTAATAACAGTTACGATCAAGATACCTAAAAGTGTGAACGTAGGCACCTACTTTTAACAAAAAGTTTAGGCATTTAAAGTTAACTTTAGATATAATTTGAGTAAATATTTTTACATTAAACCTTAATTTATTGATAGTCTAATTTAGATTAAAATATAATTTTATACTGATATTTATATAATTGTATACTAAATTTTAAATGAGATGTATATTTCAATTTTTTTTATTTTTTATCCAAGAAGGGGCCAGCCGTCCAACAAGCTGAAAATTTGTACAAAGCCAGCCAAGTCAAGCTAGGCCAACAAACAAAGCACAAAAATAAGATTACATTTAGAAAATTCCCAAGCCCAACAAATTACAACAAATGTCTTCCAATAAAACTCGTTCGGAGCAACACCCACTCAAGCAAATATAGTTATAATTCCATGGCCATCAACATGATTCTTACAAGGAAACATCATAAAACCAAACAGCAAATGACATGTTAAAGCAACATCCACTCTCAATGTTACAGCTTGTGCCTAACCTACCGCTAAAACAACCTAACTACAGGATAAAGCAGTGCTTGATTTAATTTCCGACTATCGGAAATGTCACTGCAACGAACCGATTACAATGTGTTGGCGAATCACGAATCGCTTGGCTGCTGTTCGGATTGCTGCTGCTGTGGCTGACCCTGAGGCCATGGCATGAAAGCCATGGGCGGTCGAGGCTGCTGGCCTGGATACAATGCAGCGGCTTGATCAATTGGTTTTCCCATTATCATCCCCGGTGATCCCACAGGATGCTGTGGGACATAGTAATATGGAATATCAGCAGGTGAGCCAACTAAAGGAAGAGTGGCCTTGGTGATCCCAAGTCCCTCGTCTTTCAGCTCATCTCTCGGAATAATATCGACTAAGAAATCAAAGACATCAGTCCTCGAAATTGCAGCTGCTATATCATTCTTTTGTAGTGTCCTCCTCTTGTTCTCTTCTGTGTGGATCCAAGAGCGTAAAGTCAGTTCCAAGATGAACATTTCACACGCTTTTGCAAAAATTACAGGAGCCTCTGCTGATATCATCCGCACGTCTTCATCCGCTTTCATTATCTTCTTTATCCGAGCAAGTGGGAGACTGTGATTCTTGAAGTCTACTGTTTGTTCGATTTCTTGCATCTGGTTAGCCCAGAACACTTGAAGCTGCTGCTGTTGTTGCTGCTGCTGTTGGTGGTGAAAGTGCTGAGCTTGTTGGTAGGCAAGTTGATGTGGAGAACTAGAGAAAGTAGCCGGAGGCTGAGTTTGTGAAGGGACAGCTACTGCCAGAGTGCCAGATGTGACCATCGGAGCAGTTTGGTAAGGAGCATTAGAATAGCCCATCTGCCCGCCACCAGGTACAACTCCCAACGTGGGCTGTTGCTGCTGCTGTTGTGTTTTTCCCGATTGATCCATGGTGATTTTACAGAGATCTCTTTGATCTTGTTCTATCTTCTCATTACCCCACGGCCACGCTGTTACAAATAAAGATAGAAAAGTACACATTAAGCTGATAAAAAGGTAATCTTGCTAACATAGATTCTTCAAACCGTCTTTTTCAAGATCATATAGAAATAATACACAAGTAGAGAAAAATAGCACATATTGTATCTCTTTTACGGTTTTTCCATTCATTAACATGACAAGAACCATCAACACAAGGATATATCTAAAAATCTTCAATAAATTTTACAGGGCATCAAGATCAAATGTCGAAGCAACACTCGATCTTCAAGGTGCAACACCATACAGAGATGAAACAGTCGATAAAAATAACTAAAATTTTGGCAATCACTACATGTGGATGGACATCTATCATAAAATAGACATACAGACACACCGCTTTTCCTATCATTCGAGCCGCAGTCCTATTAAAAACTTGAGTGCTAATCAGCAAGAATTAACACATGTTTGATTAAGTTGAATTCCAACAGTTGCCTATATTTGACCAAGGCGCTCTACCTCACTCTCCTCCACTTCCTCCTCCCTCAAAACCAAATGTTTGAAGGCTGATCGTGTTACTTTTCCCGCTAGTGACTATTACATTCAAATGGCATAAGCTCTAACACAATACAGGCAATACAGAAATTTCATAAAAGCCTTGTGATAATAAGCCTTCTCTTACCATCCCATAATACGAGTATCTCTAAACCATTTGAAACAGGTATTTCTTTAACATAAGTCTGTAGCTTGACCAGACACTTCCTCTATTACTGTAAATTATTTAAACAACTTATTCACAGTCATAGACCTACTCACTAACAATTTTAATGGAAGAAGAAGAAGAATTAAAACACATTTCAGAATGCAGATAATTTGATTCCACGTACATGAAACTAGTCAGGTTTATGATAAATGAAGCTTTCCCTCATGAATTAGTAAAATAGCAACAAAATACTGTTGTATTGCTAATTCTTGTAACGACACGTTGACTGAATTAAATAGCAGTGACGAAATACCATCTTACAGATAATCCATTTCTCGACAAGTTGAATGAATTTATAACAGCATCAAAATGTCATCTCATAGCTAATCTGATCTTTGACAAGTAAGCTCAATATTTTTCACTTATGAACAATATGAAAGCAACAAGATGCCACAAATTTTATTTTATTCTATTTCATCTGCTTGGATTCATGCTGCGTAATATGTTTCCTATAATAAAATGTGAGTATAACTAAATTGGCAAATTGAAAATTAGTTTCAATTTTTTTTAACCAAACCAAACTTCTGAAGAATCGATCACTGACACCTAGCGTTAACTCAGACAGACAATTTCCATTCCAGTACTGATTAGAAATTGAAAAGAAACAAAAGCAGATGAGAAACCAACTGAATTTCACTAGTTTTATTCCAACCTGCAGATATGATTGATACTTAAATTACTTTAATAAAACTCAGAAATACAAGTCCATCTAATCTTAAAACTGAAACCTTTCAAATTCCAGATCCTAAACTTAAAAAGCTACCACATCCAATTGACATGCATGAGTAACCTAATTACAATAGAGCAATTGCATTTTTAATTCACATCAGAGAAAAAAAAATACAAACAAATAAAACCCCAAAGCTTTATTTCCTTTTTCTAGAAAGAAAACCATACATGCAGTGGAAAGGGAATAAACTTCTGGGCCATCCCACCCTAATAATAACAATAACAGACCTGTTTGCTTCCTAAGATTCACTAAGAAATGATAACAAACTTCTTTTCCAGGCGAAAAGTAAAAAAAAAAACCGAAATTTCTTTTATGGTCCTTTCCCACCAACCAAACAAGAAAAGTAAAAACCCAGAATTATTATTTTTTACCTGTGATCTATCTTCCTTTCTCCAGTTGAATCTTCTCAGGAAACCAACAAGAAGAGAGAGACAATGGGAGACTGGAAACGGAGAGCTGATAGAGCTTTCAATTTGAATGTTCAATAAAATAAATAATTAAATAAATTTAATTTTGGAAGAGAAAGAGCTTTCTGGAGGTATCTAACAAAAGGACACGTTTCGATCAATGATAACACCCGACCCGAGGACAGTTTTAGTTTTAGTTCATTCCACGTGTCAAACACCAAGTGGTCAAATGGGTCAGAGGAAGAGGCTCACGACCTCACGTATTCTACCTCGAGGGAAATGGCTGCGAACGTAAGTGGGCGAAGAGTCACTGAAGATATGATTGTAAAACCGGATAATCGTTTAGGTTTCAGTCGGATCTTATCAAGTAAGGTAAAATCAGATACAGGTTAATTTAGGTAAATTTAATATTTCGACTCGGATCAGGTCGGGTCCAAGTCAAATCAGGTCGGGTCATTTTTAGGTTGATTTGACATCAGGTACAGTTCGGGTTCAGGTCGAATTACTTTCAATTCGAATCGATGTCAGTTCAGGTCAAAACAGTTCAGGTCTGAAGCAGTTAAAAAGTAGGTTAATTCAGGTTCGGATGGACTTCAGGCGGATCTCGTTCAGATCGGGTCATATCATTGGTAGATAAAATTCAAGTCGGATCTCTATCAGATACGGATTAAGCACAAATCGGGTTAATTTTTAATTTTGGATTAATTATTTTCGTCTTTCGCGAACGTTGAATTGCAATTTGTAATTGTATATGATTTATAGTAAATTATTAAGAATATAAATAACCATGGTTCAATTTTATGAAAAATACAAATTTAAGAATTAAATTGAACAAATATGAAATTACAAATAAAAAATTAAATAAATTAAACAACACACATTGATGAGGGATCAAATCGAAATAATTTTAAATTGTGAGGTTGAAATTAATACAAAAAAAATATTAAATTATACCTATTTAAAAAGTTATGGGCCAATTAAAAAATAGAAGTAAGTAATAAGTATGGATCAATTTCAGATGCAAATAAAATTTAGAGGATTAAATTGAACAAATATGAAATTACAAATAAAAATTTAAATAAATTAAACAACGCACATTGATGAGGAATCAAATTAAAATAATTTTCAATTTTGAGGTTGAAATTAATACAAAAAATATTAAATTATACTCATTTAAAAAGTTATGGGCCAATTAAAAAATATAAATAAGTAATAAGTATGGGTCAATTTCAGATGCAAATAAAATTTAGAGGACTAAATTAAACAAATATTAAATTACAAATAAAAATTTAAATAAATTAAACAACAAAAAGGGATCAAATATGAAAAATATTGTAAAATGGACTAAATTGCATTCATTTCAAAAGTTGAGAAAAAAATTAAAACAACTAATATATATATATATATATATATATATATATATATATATTATGTATAAACTATATATACCATGTATAAACTATAATACTATATAGTTTATATATGAACTATTGAACTATATAGAAACTACATAGTTTATATATAAATTATATATGAATTATATATAAACTATACAATTTATATTTATATATGTATAATTATAAATAATATATATTGTATAAATTATATAGTTTATTAATATAAACTATATAGTTTATATATATATATATATATATATAGTATATATGGTTTAGGGATTAGGATTTAGGGTTTGTATTTGTATTTGTATTTATATAAACTACATACTATAATTTATATTTATATACTATTTATATAAACTATAGTTTATATTTATATACTATATATATGAACTATAGTTTACATATGAACTATATATATACTATAGTTGATATTTATATATGAACTATAGTTTACATATAAACTATATAGTTTATATACTAACTATATTTTACATATAAATTATAGTTGATATTTACATATGAACTATAGTTTACATATGAACTATATATATAAACTATATAGTTTACATATGACCTATATAAATAGTTTATTAGTGAACTATATAAACTATTTATATAATATATACTATATATATAAACTATAATTTATATTTATATACTACATACTATAGTTTATATTTATATATTATATATATAAAAACTATATATACTATATAGTATAATTTACATATGAACTATATATAAAAACCATGTAAACTATATACTATAGTTGATATTTATATACTATATAAAATAATTTATACTATAGTATATATAAACTATATAATATATATATAAACTACATATTATATAGTTCATTAGTATACAAAAACTATATATTATATAGTTCATTAGTATATATAAACTATATAGTATATGTAAACTATATATTATATAGTTCATTAGTATATATAATCTATATAGTATATGGTATATACAAACTATATATTATATAGTGCATTAGTATATATAACCTATATAGTATATGGTATATACAAACTATATATTATATAGTTCATTACTATATATAAACTATATATTGAAAAGTTCATTAGTATATTATAACCTATATATTAATTTATTAATATATATATATATATATATATATATATTAATTGAAAGAATTGGAAAATATATAAGGATCAAATTAAACAAATTTTAAATATGAAGCTTAAATTAATAAATTATAATATTAAATTTGGACTAAATTGAAAAAAGTTGGAATATGAAACTTAAATTAATATATTGCATCATTAAATTTGGACTAAATTGAACAAATTTAAAATTAGGAGACCACGCTACAATTTCACACAAAGTTAAAAAACACGTGAGTCATACCCAAACGCGAAACCCAAACGAACCCGTATAAAAGGCATTTTTTTCATTTTCAGCATTTTCCTCTCGTTTTCTCATTTCATTATTTTGCTCTCTCTCTCCAACTCTCTGATTCTCTCAAATCCTCTGTCTTCTCTCTAGAAAACCAACAATGTTCTTCATTTGTTCATCTCAATTATTCCCCAAAACCCTCATTTGATCTTCAAAAACACCAAAACCAAAACATTTTCGTGTTTTTTTATCAAACACCCAAATATTCTTCCGTGTTCTTCATTTGTTCATCCAGTTCTTCCCCAAAACCCTCCTTTAATATTCAAAAACACCTAAACACAAACCATTTCGTGTTTTTTTCGATCAAACACCCAAATTTCATTGGTGTTCATTCGTGTTCTTCATTTGTTCATCCCAGTTCTTCCCCAAAACCCTCATTTGATCTTCAAAAACACCGAACCCAAACCATTTCGTGTTTTTTCCAATCAAACACCCACAAATTCATCCAATGTTCATCTGTGTTCTTCCCCAAATCCTTACAAACACCCAAAACTTAAAACCAACTTGTTTTTTTCGATCAAACACCAAAACCCAAACTATTCATCTTTTCTAACCCCTAACCCTAAACCACTATTCATTTTCCTAACCCTTAACCTGAACCCTAACCTTAACCTAAACTCAAATAAACTCGAACCCGAACCCAAACCCAAACCCAAACTGATTTATTGTTGTTGATGTAAATGATGTACTGGTTTATTGTTGTAATGTAAACTAACCATGGTTTTTTTTGCAAGGGGATGTAAATGATATATTGTCCGAAGCAAATGATTTAAATAAATCCTCTAAGAGGAAATCCACTGGTTCATCCGATTTTGGGAGAAGAACCTCTCCTGTTTGGGATCACTACACATTCACCAAATCTGATGATGGTTCTGTTTATGCCGAGTGTAAGTATTGCAAAGTGAAAAGGTATAAAGTTGATTCTTATATTGGTACATCTAACCCTAAAAGACATACTGAGAAATACCAAGCATATAAAGATTTTCTTGCTGAAAATCCTGGTAATGTAGCTTCTTTTGATCAAAACAAATATTGTGAATTGTTTGTTGAGGCTATTCTGTGTCATGGTTATGCATATAGTATTGTTGATAATGAAAAACTTAGGGATTTACATCATTACCTTAATTCTTCTATTAAGGATATATCTAGGTATATTGTTACAAAGTATTACATGTTGGAGCATGAAAAGCATAAGAAATTGCTACTTGATTCAATGCATACTATTTCAAGTCGTGTTTGTTTTATATGTGATGGTTGGTCTGTCTGTACTTCACGCTCTTATTTTGCTCTTACTTCTCATTATGTTGATAATAACTGGAAACTTCAGTCTAAAATTCTTAATTTTCGTCGTTTTCCTCCTCCTCATGATAGGGAGTCAATATTTAAGTTTGTTAAAAAGATGATATGTGAGTGGGGTCTTGAAAAAAAGCTTTTACCATTACACTTGATAATGCTTGCAAATGATAAAATGGTCAGGAGACTAAAAGATGATGTGAATGTTATTTCTCATCTTCCATGCAATGGTAAGTACTTCCATATAAGATGGGATGCCCACATTTTGAACTTAATAGTTCAAAAAGGTTTGAAGGTAATTGATTCTTCTGTTAATAAATTATGTGAGATTGTTAAGTTTATTGATTCTGCTGATTCTCGACTTTGTGCATTTGAATTAGCTGTTAAAGACTGTGAAACTTCTTTCTCTGGTAAGTTAGTATTGGATGTTTGTAACATCCCAAACTATGGGTTAGTGACCAAATTGTAAAGTTTCAGAATTTGGTGACTAAAGTAGAAGAATGTATTAATTCAGTGATTTATTTGGAAGTATTTCCTAAAATTTGTTAGTAATTATTAAAGGAACTAAAGGGTAAAATGGTCATTTGATCATTTAAGGAATTAAAAATGTGATAGTGGGGATATATATATTTTTACACGTGGGAGTGTAGGAAACCAAAAACAATGTCTCCAGAATTCTCTTCTTCTCCTCCTTTCTTCTTTGTGCGTGAAGCTCCAGCTCAAAGGTGAGTTTCTTAATTAGTTGGTTATTTGTTGAATTAAAAGTTGGGTTATGATTCTTAGGTGATACTTAAGCTTAAGGAAAGCTTAAGTTATCTTAAGATCAAAAGATAAATGAGTTAGGGAAGATTAAAGATTTGGAGTTCTTGAGTGAATTTCCAGAATGGAGTTGATAAGTTGAACTTGAAACTAAATTTGACTTGTCATCAGCTTAATTAAGAAGTATTAAGTGTTAGAATTAGATTTGAA